CCATAAGCATTAACAGGGGCGCCGGAGCCACTGGGGCAGCGGGGTCAGCTGCCCCCGTTGCCGAAACAGTGCGGGGGCGGCACGGGGGCAACAGGTTGCCCGTTTTCACCAAAACTGCGCTTCGATATTTGTGCGTTATTCACGTGAATTAGAATTTATCACTATTTTTAAGCAATGTTTAAGCAATCTTTGCCTAATTTTACAGCTGATTTCACGAAACTTTGGCCACGCCAATTGCGAGGTTGGTTGGGAATTTGGGAACTATAAACACGAGATGATCAGGTTGATTGGAAACCGGCCAATCAAATTCGGAAGTTTCGCATCAAATTATCGAAATTCGTTATGAAATTCCGAACCGAGTTCGCAAGCAAGTTCGCAAATTGCAAACGATTTTGGCGGTAAATTTTCAAAACCAAACTTATTGTATTAAACTTATTATAATTTTAAACCTGAAGTTATTATTTATTATTAAATGAATAAGTTTAACAGAATAAGTTTAGTTTTTGAAAATTTACCGCCAAAATTGTTTGCAATTTGCGAACTTGCTTGCGAACTTGGTTCGGAATTTCATAACGAATTTCGATAATTTGATGCGAAACTTCCGAATTTGATTGGCTGGTTTCCAATCAACTTGATGATCTCGTGTTTATAGTTCCCAAATTCCCAACCAACCTCGCAACTGGCGCGGCCAAAGTTTCGTGAAATCAACTGTAATCAGTTATAGTAAAATGAATGCCAGAGGCTGCGGAATCACTTCTGTATAATTATGATCAAAATCAAACAATTTTATGTCGTTCACGAGCCGAACAAAATTTTTTGAAAATGGCCTTTACAGAGTCTTTACTACTGCAAAAAGGGCAATTTCTTTCCAGCCCCCCAAAAGGGCATTTTTTCATTTTTAAAAAAGTGGGGAGGCACATGTCCCCATTGCCTCCGGTTCCGCGGCCCCCGATTAATGCTAAATCAGGCAATATACGTCCGTTTACTGATTTTATTTTGCGCCCTTAACATGGTGCAACAAATAAAATTGTTCAAAATTAATGTCGAAGTTTGCCGACCCACAATAGCCACAAGTAATCGGGTATCCATACAATAACGTTTTAACAAATATTGCCGCCCAGAAAAATGATGGCTGAGAAGCAAGTGCCCTTTTGAAATGGCTGTCCCCCGTCGCTTCACATTGCTTCCGGCGCCCCTGAGCATTAACATACCGGTAATAAAAGTTGATGCAAATAAAAGAAAATAGCACGTGAAGATGTAATGTAAACGCTGGTCAAAAACATAACACGTTATCGTTCCATCTTAAACTAGTTACTTGTACTGTTACCTCTTTTTAAAATGTAAGTAGTTATAGCGTCACAGTTACTTAAAAGAGTAACGATTACTTGTAATTCTGTTACTTTGTAACAAAGTTACTTACAACACTCATGTTTTTAACAGAAATGCCATCTAGCAAGTGACCCTAATGCTCTGAAGATACGGATCAAAACAGTCGATTTGTGTCCTGTATTGAAACTATCATTTGATTGTCTCTTGAGGATTTTCTCGTTTTTACCATTGACAGACTTACAGAGGTAAATTCGGCGCATAATTTGCTTAGGTTTTCCTAAAGGCCCGTTTACACTTTTTGTTTGCGATTTCTAGTGCGATTACCTTCTTCTGATGCATGTGAAAGAGTAGAGGAGTTATAAATTTTCTGAGTAGATGTACCCTAACCTGAAACATTCATAATTCATTCACTCGTTCATATCTATCAAAAGAACAAAATCGCCGCAAAAAATGCGAGTGTAAACTGGCCTTAACAGAAAACGCGGTTTGATTTTTCGTTTGAATCGTGTTCGTTAAACGTTGGAATGGCGTTCTAGCACGTTTTCTCGATGTTTCCTAGCTTCATTTCTCAATGCGTTTTAAATAATTCCGTTCCATAGGCAGACATTCCAATTACTCTCCCGATTATACCGAGAGTCTCCCGAAAATTCATGCAATCTCCCGGTCTCCCGATTTTTATCAAATTCTCCCGATTTTTCAGAATATTCTGGAAATACAGTATCATAAAAAAATTATAAATATACTGTTTTTAGCAACATAATAGTCTGTCTCGGACCTTTTTTGAAGTTACTTTATGCATGGCAATTTATAGGATCATTTATAACAACATAGTCCCAAAATGCAGGAAACGCCATTTCAGAAGACTTAATTTCTATTATTTTTCCCAGAAGAACTAGATTTCAATTCACTGAACAGTCTCCCTAAATTTTACCTCCAGTAGTTGGAATGTCTGCATAGGCGCTGCGTTCCGTAACCAATATCCATAATCTCTTCGTATGTTCAGATACAGTCATACAGATCTTTAATACAGAACAGCTACTCTGCGAAAGAAGGCTTTGATAGTATAGTTTTAAAATAACTAAAAACTCTATATATATGGATGTAGATCATAGCCTATCGAAGGGAAGATGGCTGTGAAACTCGTTAGAATAACAATATACTGTAACTCATCTATGTTAGTCGACGTTTATTTATAAATCTGGTCCTTCACCGTCACGTGTGTATTATATTTTTGCCCAACTAACCAATAGGAATGTTTTAGGAAAGTTACCTATCCGTGACTCGAACAATAGGAAAATTGCTATTGGTGGATTTGGTAAAAATTCAATACACACGTGACGGTGAAAGGACCAGATTTACGAATGAACGTTGACTAACATAGATAATGAGTTATATTGTTATTCTAACGAGTTTCACAGCCATTTTGAAGTTTCCTTCGATATAGGCTATGAGTATGGATAGATAGATAGATAATATATTTAAAAATTTCACATCGCATGCAGCCAGTAGCTGAAATGCGTGATTTACAGTAAAAATATTACATTATTAAAATTACAAGTATATATCTGAAAAATCTACAATATACACGTTGAAAACCCAATCTAAAAAAAGGTTCTGAAAGGTCTGTCAGTTTCACTATACACTATATACACTTTATTTTGACAGAGTGGCTTGTGTTTGCTCAACATGGAAATATGTCGCTGCTCAACCACTATTGGTAAGATTTCAGTTTAGACAAACTTCCATACCCACATCATAATTTTCGTATTTTTCAAAGTTGGTAATGTAATACTTCCGTGCATAATTTATTACTTTTGTATGTTTTTTGCATAGTGGAAACGCATTTCCTTCAATGGCGTTTTTGTAAAAGACTGGGCATTGGCAGAAAAATCTTTGGTAAACTTGTCGTCTGTTCAGAGACTGGTAAGTTGTTTTTGCTTTCGGTAATGAAGAGGAAAACTTATGCTTCTATCATACCTATTAAATATTTTGTTAAAAGAATTTTCCTTGTTGAAAATGGTTATTTAATTGATTAATGATTATTAAAACAAACCAAGGTCTTACTAGGAAACGTGAAATTAACGGTAACACAAATTAATGTTTATTAAATTAATGCGAAATTTTCAAAGTCGCGTCAATGAAGTTGCACTGCTAATTTCCTATGAAAAGTATAATTATAGGTTTACAGCTAAATCAATTGACCATGCACCATTTATAACTTGTACATAGATATATGTGTGCTAAATTAAGTTCTTCTTCTTCTCGCAACCACAAAACCTCAAACATGGATATATCCACTTCGCTTTTCGCTCTTTAAGAGGTCGAGGTTTTGCACTTGTGATTGACCACAAACAAGAACTTGCTAACGAGGCCTCGTGCTAAATTGCAATGTTTCTATTAATGTATTCGGAACCATGTTCCTTTGAGCCCATGTGATATGCGTACGTCAGCGGGGTTTTTTTCTTGTAATTGTCAACACCTTACGCTTCGCCGACTCGTTAAAATCGAGTATACATGTAAATGTAAATGAAATAAAAGAGTAAAAATTATATAGAGGTATATAGTAATAAGATGTGCACAGTGGTCCAAGTAGCGTAAGGCGTTCGAGTTGACCAATGTCTACATTATAAGTTATCTATAGCGAACGTGAAATAAGTGTATTATATAAAATTAATCTTGACTAAGTAGTAGAATGTTTTTATACCTCTTTTTGAATATATTTAGAGTTATAGACTGTTTAATACTATAGTCAATAGACTCCCAAATTTTTGAAGATACAAACTTGAATGTGAATTTTCCATAGTTTGTACGAGCATTCGGTCTGCTAAAATTTTTTTTTGATGCAAGATTTATTGTACTTTGAATGCGTGATTTACTGTACTTTGAAAGGATAACCTTAGTCGATTTATAAACTGCATGTATAATTTTTCACTAAAACTGGAAAGTGTATTTACAGTTTTCTGTGCTGGTTGATAGCAAATAATATAATTTTATTTCTCTTTACTTTCAAGGATTTTCGGGGTATAATTATTGGAGAGAAGAAAAGTGCAACGTTGCATAAAATCACAGACTTGCTTCATAGCACGGAACACTTGAAGCATTTGGATTTTGGCCAAGTCCCCGCTGGTGTAATTCATGATGTCGTGGGCTCACTTTCTAGGTAATCCTCATTGGTGTGGTAAAATGATGATTGCATAGGTTTTACGCTACAAATTCCGTTATTATACGCTAGTGCGCGCAAGGTACAGGGTAGCTGTATAGGACCTTATGATTATACCCAAACGGGTAAATTCCGTATTTCTACGGAATAATCGGAAATTAAAGTTAAAAACACTGAAACGCGAAAGTTAAAAACGATTTGTTGTAAAGTGGCAGCTGTTTTCAACTATCTAGTTTGATAAGCTGAATTTTCTCGTTTTTTCCCCACTGTCAATTTTAATAAAACGCCTTGCAACTTCAAATACAGCACTTGTATCTTCGTCAATATTCCACGGAAAATTAAATGTGGTATAATGTTCAAAATCTAAGTTGGCACTTTCTAAATACAATGAAACTTATTTCAGTGCAACATCTTTTATAGCTTTTTACGTTACAGGAAATCAAAATTACGTTACAGGAAATCAAATTAAAACGATTTGTTGTAAAATGGCAGCTGTTTTCAACTATCTAGTTTGATAAGCTGAATTTTGTCGTTTTTTCCCCGCTCTCAATTTCAATAAAACGCCTTGCAACGTTAAATACGGTACTTGTATCTTCGTCAATATACAATGAAACTTACTTCAGTGCAATATCTTTTATAGTTTTTACGTTACAGGAGATCAAACAGTGTATAGATATTTTTGGGACACACGAAACTGACAAACTGACATGACGTCATTTTCGGAAGATGGAAGAGGTGTTAAATGGCTATGCAACTAACCCAAATCTAGTGGCGTAGCCAGCCCGACAATTTGGTCATGCTATGCAGATTTCAAATATCATTATTCATTACTTTAGAAATCGATTGTTTTCACGGTTTATGAACACGGAAATATTTGCATATCATGACCAAATTGTCGGGCTGGCTACGCCACTGCCCAAATCCTACCCGCACTCTAACCGCAACCCTAACTCTCATCAAACATCCAAAAAGAAACCACTTTAGAAATTGATCAAATAACGTAATGTCAGTTTGGTAGTTGGAAACAAGTGAAAATCTTATTTTCCTGGCACTGCTTGCGTTTCTCCAGAGTTCACTCGTGCCCAGAGTTTTTGCACAACCTACATATTCTTGTGCGTTTACGCATATAACGATGCATAACTACACTTGCGGACTGAGGTGTGCAATCTCTGATATATATACTAGTTGACTATCCTTGGTTATTTTTTTAGCCTTGAAGTACTTACTGCTGAATGGATTATTGATGTTGTGAGGGATGGCGATGATATTGATCCGTACGTACCCGTATTTTGCTTCAAACATGATTTTCGTATATGCTGTTGAAGTTGAATGAAAAAGTTCAAGACGCCGGTTCGCCAGTCTGCCTTCTAACATGGATTGGAGACGATTTTTCACATGCGTATATTCTTGACGGTGGATCGGAAACCAAAAATACTCTTCATGTTTCTCTGATGGTGGTTATTAAATTTTGGTAAAATTTGAGTGAAAACTGGATGAGAAATTAGCAAAATTTGTCTTGCTTTGCCGGGCAGAGTAAACTGAATACGTGATTAGCCTATTGTATAAATTATGTATGATACATAACTTAATTCGCTAGCGGAGGTGTTTTGTGATTAGCTTCATTATACAAATAATTAATGTTTATTCGTGCAATGGTAAGAATATTTTCATGAGGTGAAAGATGGAATGTTTCATTCAACGAGGCGACAGCCGAGTTGAATGGAACATTCCATCTTTCACCGAATGAAAATATTCTTACCATTGCACGAATAAACATTCATTATTTGTTTTATATAATACCAAAATAAACTAATAGATTATGAGAAGCATTTTGACGGATGCGATTTATCGAAAACACAAAGAGTGCAATGGAATAAAACGTATAGTACAATTGCACTCTTTTGGAACGTATTCCATTGCACTCTTGGGAAATGGAATTTTCTATTCAATATCACGTGACCATAAACAGCCAATTAAACGATCAGAATTCAATAAGGTATTATATAAAAACAATAATGATCGGTGTTTATGACTCATTCTGTAGAAAGATAATTTATATAATTCATTGTCTTTTATTGTTATGATCAACCAATCACAAAGCCCGTTCATATAGGTTGGTGGCGACCCTCTTCGAATGGCCCTCTATATACATGTAGTTGTGAAAATGTTGTTGAAATCTGGTAACTTTATTCGTACAATATTCTTCAACTAATGCCCCGGTCAAACTAGAACAAGAGTTGCATGAGAGTTGTCTGGACAACACTGCTCGAACGAGCAAAAAGTTTTGTTAACTTTCATCACACGTTGAACCGGCTCAAAGTTGATGATAGTTTATGTGAGTACATGCGAGTTGTCAGTCAAACGCATGAAGCGAGAGCTTAGCGGGAGCGAGAGTTTGACCGTGGCTTAACATTGTTACAACAACCTTTTCGTTTTCTGTGTATAGAGAAAAGACTGCGAAAATCGATATAGGAAAATTTTCACATTTAAAGAACTTAAAGGAGCTACGACTTCGAGCAGCTTGTGCTGGACTTCAGTTGCCAATGTTTGTATTTAGTGAAGGAATGCTTGGCATGAGGGAATTGCCGCAACTACAGAAACTGGTAAGTGTAACTTTGTAGCACTGAAGTAAAGCTGCATGTTGCATGGGCTTTCACTTCTGTAACTGCATGAGGTTCCATTCCTGTTGTCTGATTATGATTTCATCTCAGTCGCATGTGAGAAGAGCGCTTCCAGTTGTTACTCTAAAACACTGCAAAAATGTTTGACTCACTAACTGAGTAACATAATACATGCACCCACAGTGGCTGAAAATATTGAGTAATTGTACTCAAATTGATGAGCAATACACCCAGAAGGGTGTATTTTACTCGTTTTTTTTTTAGTAAATTTGCTCATATATTTGAGTAATTTGTCTACAGTAATAATTTTGAGTCCACTTATTTGGTCAAAATACTCGACGATTTTCGCAGTGAAGTTGTTCCACACCACCGTGCAAGCCAAAAGAATATGCTTGACCGCAGTGGGGATCGAATCAGCGAGTCTTGGCCTGTCCTATGATCTGCCAACTGAACTACATGTACGAGTTAGAGTAGATGATATTTCAGAACTTAGTCTCTTCCTTCGGAATGTGAACACAAGATGAGCTGTCTAAAGGGACTTCCTAGAATAGTGCTACTGTAAAGTGACTGTGGTCTTCGGAAAAAGCATGCCTCATATTTTTTACACTGGATCATCAGTTAAGATAAACCGACGCATGCAATTTTGTTTGTTGAGAAGATTATTTAACACTGGCTTACGTCAGACGATTTTATACTTGTCATTAGGAGTGCCCTTGACCAGGGCTCACATGTACCATCGCCTATCGAAAGGAAGATGGCTGTGAAACTCATTAGAACAATAATATAACTCATTATCTATGTTGGTCAACATACATACGGTTCTTCCCCGTCACGTCTGTATTGTATTTTTGCCAAATGCACCAATGATAATTTCCAATTTACACTAATTGTTCGAGTCACAGATATTTCCTAAAACATTGCTATTGGACAGTTGGGCAAAAATACAATACGGTGAAGGACCAGATTTATGAATAAACGAAACATGATGACGGTGAAGGGCCAGATTTATGAATAAACGTTGACTAACATAGATAATGAGTTATATTGTTATTCCAACGAGTTTCACAGCCATCTTCCCTTCGATAGGCTATGCTTGTGCGAAGGCCGGATAGCACTATCCACTGCATAGTGATTCTCTCAAGATTTGTAAAATTATACACTGGTTCGTATTACCAAGATTAAACTTTAGTATTCGTATACTGAAATTTCTTTTTCTCATTTGTGAGGTCATATTATTGATCAGTGGGTCATATAAGTTGTTTGATACCTTTTCAAGCATTTTTGAAATGGTTGAAAAAATCACTATTCGATGGATAGTGTTATTCGACCTTCGTACTAGTACAATCCGCCCAGACCAGTGTACAGTTACAACATTTTTGGTGTGAATTTTTTCCAGGCGTTAACAACGTTCAGAGACCTAACGACTCAAGAATTTGACTTTTTACCTTATTTGGAACAGCTTGAGGATCTTGAGTTAGGAGATTGCTCGGAATGGGAAACTGAGGTATGTATGAAATATGAGCCATCACTTTGGTAATGGAGCAGTTTGCACAGTCGCTCACCAGCTCGTGGTCTCAAGTTAAAATGTGTTAAAGTTCTATCATTTGAATTTCTGTTTAGGCTTACATTAGTTTGGGTAAGCTTACGGAGTTACGACATTTGAGGCTCGAACGTATTGGTTCCGTTTCAAATGAAGGTTTAGTGCTTGGCTTGTCATCACTTAAAAAGTAAGTTCGCTCATTCCAATGTCAATTCCAAACTAAGTTAGCTTATTTAAATAAAGTTATTCATTCATTCATTTGGAGAAATCAAAACCCGATTAAAGTCACCTGCACCAACTATTATGCATGCAACTCTTTTTTCGCTATTTGCTTGAATATTTCAAATGTGCGTCGTATTTCTTGTTTGTCTTTCTATATTTTTAGTCTTGTCCATTTGGAACTGATAATGTGTGAAGTTCCGGAAACATTTTCTCGAGCTCTGATGGAAATTTCAACGTTGAGAGCTTTGTGTATCTGGCCAGATACTTTCAGCGAACGCGTAAGAGAATACCAACTTTTTCCAAGTTAACATCTTTTCAAGTTGCAGCAATTTTGTTGCTTTATATTTGAGATCAGACCTGGAAACTCGAGGCCTACAGTATAGTATAGTATAACTTCCTGATCAAATCCATCTTTTTGGAACGAGACAAAATGGGGCAGTATAACATGATTGTGAAATTGTCAAGACTACAGACCAGTGCCTAGCTGTCGTGGCTCTCTCTGGAACTCGCACTCCGCCCATGCAGAGGTGTAGGCCAAAAAGTTGCTATATCAAAAACCACCCTCACTCCACCTCCAAATAACAGAATTATGTTTTCCTCTTTTTTTACAGGCTTGTCAAGTGAACACAAATTGCCTGGCTTCGATCGTTGCCATTGACCTGCAACACCTTCAACTATTTGATTGGGGCGTGTTAACTACGGATTATCAAAAGACAAAAGATATTGTCAAAAATTACCATTCTTACTGCAAAGCCCAAGCAAAAAATGATAGTCCTAGTGTAGAATTTACAAAGTCCCTGAAAGAATCGCTATTTGACAATATACCAGAGTTACAATATGTCCAGAATGTTCAATCTGGAAATATAACTATGTCGGCCACTCAGTTGAAAAAGATTCTGACCAAAAAATTATCGTCAACATATGTGAGAGTTTTGCCCGTACCTATCAATGTTATGGACAGACTGTATTTTATTATATAAAGTTTTATATTGTGAAAAGATATTTTTCTACGTTACAGTTATTTTGCATATGAAAACAAAGAACATTTTGTTAACTAATCAAGACAGCTTCCATGTCGTTGTATAATAAAATGAAAAACTAGTTAGACTTTAATATTTTGTATAAGCGAATTCCCTGGATCTAGAGAATGAGGTCGCCCCTTAAAATATCCCCCCCCCCCCTCCTTTAAATCCCCATAACCTCTTTGTTGAACATTTTAGATAGCTATACAGTGGTATAAAATATTACAGTATATTGAAAAATCTGGAAAATCTGCACCGACCTACTAGATGACCTAGTTGCCCCCTGAAGGACTAAAGAATGCTCATATCGTCTGAAGTGATCGCAAGAAGTGTCAAGAACCCGTCAACGTTGAAACACCATGGCATTGTTCTATCAAACCTGAACGGAATCTTGGTAAACGGTTAGTTTTTGCAATGATTTACTATAAAATGTTATATATGTATGTAGATTTTGGATTGATAGGAAAATGTTAGTAAATATATAGTGGACGAAAATGTTTACTTTGCTTTTTTTAGCAGCCAAATTTGTTTGCAATCAAAACATTGTTGAAGAGCAATTTCTATGCTTTTGAACAGGGCGTTGCATCGATCATGTCTTTTGGTTATTTTGCCACCAAGAGTTGTTTTTACCCAAAGTGGAGTCAAAATAATAATCTTGGGACTTCTTGATCTTGGGAATTTAATTGACTTCTTTAAGAGTTGTGGGAGACCTAAGAGGCATAGGAATAACTGTATGCAATGATAGTGCCTCGCTGGGGTTGACGTGACCATCTAAAACAATGGTCCATTTTAATCTCAATAATTCATGAGTAAATTAGGCAACCATATTGCTTTATTTTGCTCACATGATACTACTGGATACCTGGTGAAGTATATTGATCCTGTCCTGGGACTGGATCAAAATCAATTTTACTCTTTGGACTGGATCAGTATTAATTCACCTTATTGTACGTAGGCAAAGTGGCATATGCTATATGGTTCTTCCTACAATTGAACGCGGTGTCATTCTTACCTAAATATTGTCATGTCATTTATATGTGCATGAAGTCACTCGGAGTTTTGACAGGTTGTTTGGCGGTCGATTATATGTACATACTGTAATATATATTATGAGAAGTAATTCTCCGGTTTACAGCACAACTTATTTTACGTACAGTCGGG